ACATATATATCTATATATATATATAGATATATATGTATATATACATATATATATACATATATATATATATATATATTTATATATATATATATATATATATATATATATATATATATATATATATATATATATATATATATATATATATATATATATATATATATATATATATATATATATATATATATAACATTATAATTATTTCTTGAGCACATACTTTACTATTCCAGGGAAGTGAGTGTTGATGAAGTATTCTTCCCACTGAATCGATTTCGGATCGAAATCGAACATTTCTGCGTTCGCACCACTTTCCGATCTCATTGCAATTCGCAGGTTTTCAGCATTGGCATCGTCGTATCTGCCCAGATTGAACAATATTTGATACCGTGTTTAAATATAAACGTTTGCACGTAATTGGAATGTTTTAAAATAAATATAAATAGGAGTGGAAATTATGAAATACATACACCGTCTCGAACAATACGTATGGTTTGTAGAGTTCCGCTAGATGTAGAGTGCGGTTGACTTTTCTGCTCGACCTGGCATATGAAGTTTCGTAATGGTTGCAAACTATGATGTTCAGTAACTTCAATACCTGCAAAAAAACAATACAAATTTATGAAAATACATTTGTAGATATTCGGGTAATTAAATAAAATTATAAAAAAATGAAAAATGAAAAATGAAAACTGAAAACGAACCTTCAAAAATGGGACGTAACAGAGGCGAATGTATGTGTTAAACCTGGTTATGGAGCTGATTGTTTTAAGTTTTCCAGCCTTGATAGGGTTTCCTTTGTTATTAATAAAAGGAGTCTTGCTTAAATATTGATACATATGCCACTTGAGCGGTGTTATAAATGTTTTGTCCTTTTTTTTTAACAATCGATCATATATATAGGTGCACTGGGTAAACACACACCCTCGTATAATAGCTTGTAAACTATACGATAGACGTAAACCACATTAGGTTAACCATGTGTGACAAACTCCACCTAGCGACTGTTGGAAAAGGGATTTGAACACAGGCTCACTTGCTTCAACCGCTAGGTAATCCATTATAGGACTTTCGTCCATCTTTTGATTATATTATATGCATATTACGAATTTCTTTTTGAAAAATAAATGTTAAAATATGTATATAAAATTAGGAGGGGCGCTTTAACCTAATTAACTAATTATGTTAAATAACTATGATTCCAAATAATTTGAAGTAGGCAATATTTTGTCTATCTACGCAGACTCTCAACTTTTCTCAATCCAAGATTTGAAGTTGCAATTTCAAAAATATTTATCAAGCGAAGAACCTCTCAAGAGGCATCGTAATAGTACCATGGTAAACCAATCGAAAAATTATCGAAATATAACCAAAAAAGGGTTATTAATGCACTCGGTATAGTATTAATACCGTGCCATACCACAATTTGTATTTTATAAATTAACTATCATTTTATACGATTTCTACTTGATAAGACTTACTTATAACCAAAAATAAAAATGACTACTTAATGTTATTACATAAATTAAAACGTACGAGTGAAGATTTTAATATCACTAGTGGATGACAAGTATAGCATATTAAAGAGATAAACCAATATTGTGATTTTTTTTTCTCGCTCGAGTTACTCTTTTCTTGTACAAAAATGAATCGTGAAAGTCTTTAAATGTGGTAAAAAAATACCAAGTACCAACTATACCGACCAAAATTAACAGTATACCGAACATTGATATACCGCAATTTTTGTTGGTAACGGTACATGTAATATCAATATTAAATAATATGATTGGTACACGTTATTGAGCAAAATTAAATGTTTGGCAACCGTGCTGAATCCATCCTTATTATAAACCATGACCAAGATTTTTTCCTAGCATGGTTAGGGCTTTTGAGATCCTACACCGGGTGAAATACACCGGGTAGATCTTTACCATTAATATACACACAAACACACACACCCACATTGGTGTGTGTAGATCAACGGTAAAAAATCACCCGGTGTAACCTTCACCGGGTGTAGGATAGATAAAACCCATGGTTAGGCACGAGAAAATGAAATGACGAAATGCAAATTTAATGTTACTTAAGTTTGTGTGTCCAACTAACAGTTGCGTATCTCATTTAAAACGTGGATATTTTTTTTTTTTTTTTGATAAGAAAAGGATTGCATTAAAAGTGAAGAAGGAAAAAAAGTTATGTTTGGTTATTTTATTTAGGTAACATGTCTGCATTAAAAGTGAAGAAGGAAAAAAAGTTATGTTTGGTTATTTAATTTAGGTAACATGTTGTATCAAATTTGTTAGATTATCATATTATATGTGAATTGTGTATGAAGTCTTTTATTTAATAAAATAAAGTTATTGTTTTAAGAATAAAAATAGTAATTAACCGTTTTAGTCGCCCGGCCCCTTACAAAATTAATCGCAGGTTGAAGGTGTATTAGTAATTTCATGAAACAGTAGCATTTGATTGCGGGATTCAACTTAATTAAGTAGCGGGTAGTAGTTTTGAATCATGCCAACTAAAGGTCTACAAACTCCTACTATTTAGTCAATCTAACATAACAGTAACAAGCAAACGAGGCCTTAGATGATAAAATATTTGGAAAAAATATTATAATCTTAAAATTTTGTAATATATAAGCTCAGTATTTGATCTAGAAAGTTCTTATTTATATTTTAACTAAAAATATTAATAAAAGTTGTACCCAACAGATTAATTACATATATATACGCCAATTGATATCTGTAATCATGTAAAAATGGCTGCTTCAGTCAAAACATAATTTATTACGGTGTATTAATATTATGCTTATAATAATATATTTGTTGAAAAAAAACTTTTAAATTAAAATGAATAAAATATATTTACGTCTGCATATCACGTAAAAAATTTAGTGACTTCATTGCAAAAATAAAAATAAAAAAATAAAAAATATTTAGGGAACGTTTTGTTCTAAATTGTGCTAAAAAAACAACCGTAATTAGTATATTCGTTTGAAGCAAGATTGCTTCTTCTTCAATCTATCTGCTCGTTTAGTTGCGTACTATTGGCGTGAACTTGGTGCATTTGTTTTTGTACGTGTACGAATGAAGGTTTTCTCTCATGAAGGTGATGTACGAGATCAAGACTTGTTGATCGAATTAAACATGTTTGTCGAAGTCGATGAATCCTCACTTGTGTTTTATTATATATAGTTAATTTCAATATCGGAGGATGATAAAACATGGATGAATCGCACATCTTCTGCTTGTTTAATATAATCGTCTTTTTCCGATAAAAAAAATAAAATAAAATAAAAAATCATCGGAATGATGAAAGAAGTAGCATACACAATCACACATCTTGTGAATTTATTTTCATCACACTATATATAAATATATATATAACATTATAATTATTTCTTGAGCACATACTTTACTATTCCAGGGAAGTGAGTGTTGATGAAGTATTCTTCCCACTGAATCGATTTTGGATCAAAATCGAACATTTCTGCATTCGCATCACTTTCTGATTTCATTGCAGTTCGCAGGTTTTCAGCATTGGCATCGTCGTATCTGTTCAAACAATAGTTCGATTCGACGTTTAAATCAAACGTCGTAATTAGAATAATACTGGAGATAAAATATCGTTGAATAATTAATAACAGTAGTAGGTGAAATAATCATACATACATTCCCCGAAAGAACAAGTACGGTTTGTAAAGTTCTGCCAGTCGCAAAGAATGATTGATTTTTCGCTTCGCATTGGTATATGAACTTTCGTAACGGTTGCAAAGTAACGCGTTCAACACCTTCAATACCTGAAAAAGAAATTAATAAAATACATTCAGAAAAAAAAATTAAGAAATAATTTAATTTAGGGTAAATTACACCTATACTCCTGAGGTATGCTAAAATAACTTTAAGGTCTTTGTAGTATCAGTAACTACAATCACCCTCAAAAAATTGTTAGAAACCCTAACAGTCTGTTAGTTTCAGACAGTGATGGAGACAAAATAGAGCTAAGGGGAAACATGACTCTCCTAAAATTTCTTAGATCCTTATTATTTTCTATAAGATTTATAAATTTGCATCTATGGTAGTATTAACGGCCCCCGCGGAAAACAAATACAATGCATATCTGTCCCCAGAGCATGAAATATCGGCTCCGGTTATTGTTTCAGAGGTGTAGCTGTAATTATCAATACCACATGGACCTTAAAATTATTTTAACATACATCAGGGGTGTAGATGTAATTAATTAACCATTTAAATTAATAAAGAAATTGAAAAATAACCTTGAGAAATGGGAGATAGCGAATGGAAATGTGTCGGTGAAAGCTGGCCATGGAGCTGAGTGTAGCGGGTTTTCCCACATTGATGGGGTTTCCTTTATTATTAATAAAAGGTTTCTTTTGTAAGTAGTGATACATAAACCACTTTAGTTGTTTGAAACTCATTGGATTTCTTAGTGATGAGCCAATGTGATAAATATTATTTGCCAGCTCATCATCATCGTTTTCAGTACCAGGTTTATCTGTGTCATGTGCTGCCATTGCTACGAGGATGCCGTTCACCACCATGTCACCTGGTATCTACAGAGAGAGATGGAAATTCATCATATATATATATATATATGGTAAATTACTGTCACTCTAAGGTAAGGTCAAATTACGAAAAAGTCTTTCATATTTGGGCAATTACAATCACTCTTCAACTATGAATGTTCTTACATGTTCATCCTTATAATGGTGTGCAAATTAAATTCAATATTTCAACATAATCTTCTCAGTTCCGTGAAATGTTCTCTAGTTTGTATTTGTTTTGTGCAAAAATACAGTTTGAACATATGCAGCACCACAATCTGATATTTACAAGTTAATATACACATCTTATGATCATCTTGTTCTAAATATGGAGCTGAAATGTGATAAAACGGATATAAACTGGAGAACATTTCACATGATCTGGAAGATTCTTTTGAATTTAATACTTTAAGGGTGGACATGTAAAAAGATTCATAGTCCTGGGAGTGATTGTAATTATCAAAACATGATGGGTGTATTCGTAATTTAACATTACTTCAGGGGTTTGGCTGTAATTTACCCTATATGTATGTGTGTGTGTGTGTGTCTGTGTAAAAAAGATGTAATAAGAAACACACTAACCACATCCAATACTGAGTCAGGGTCGCCGAGGAAGAATTTAATTTTTCGTTTCGCATAACTAACGAAGATGCTGTCGAGGGTTCTGTACACATTGTGAATTGATGACAATAAATTACATGAAAAAATATAGGTAGGAAAATAAGCTAGTGATGAATATTGTGACAAGTACTAATTTTACCTAAGACCTTCCATCCAACCAGGGAATGGTTCTCTGCAAGTACTAGTTATTATTGGGGGGCGGACGATTACGACATTAACGTTTTCTTTAAATTTCTCGAAAACCATCTCTCCCATTGCTTTTGTAAACGAGTAAGTATTCGGCCATCCATGCAATATTGCCCTGCATGCAGTGCAGGTTTAATTATATAAGCCAAAAAAAACACAAATTATATACGTTAATGTGGTTTCTTTAATTAATTTCTAGCAAAATTATATGTATAGTAGAACAACCTTTGAATGCCAAAGTCCCTGAGAGATTGAATGAAGTCGTCGTTAGGGATATTGTGAGAATGAAGTCGTGTTTTAGTTTGTTGAAGTAACTTCTTCTCTGCATCCAAATCCAAGTAGGTGAGTTTGGCACCTTGCAATGTTTCACCCATACGAAATGGCTTCTCTACTATAACCCCTGACCTTGTCCCATGCACATATGCTACATACATTAAGAAAGAGATCACAAATCAGAGAGATCGATCTAGAGAGAGAAAGATCGAGTGATCGATCTAGAGAGAGAGAATTACCTGTGGATACGTGGAGAAGCAACTTTAGTTTTGTACATTTCTTGGCGAAGTTTAGAATATGCATTGCTCCAAATGCATTGATATCCAGTGCATCATCATACCTAATTATTTAATTAATTATTTATTTATTTATTAAAAATCATAATTATGCAAAAGATAGAACTCTTATCAAAAAGACAAATTATTTATAGTAATATCTCAAAAAGGGATTTTTTTTTTTTTTAATTTATTTATATATATGTGTGTACCTCTCATCAAACCTTGTTGTTGCAGCGGAGTTGATGATAAAATCAATTTCTCCGTACATTTTACCAATCAACTCTGCATCTCCAATCCCAAACTTCTCTTTAGAAACATCACCGGATACTGGAATAATTTTCGACGATAAAAAGGTAGTTATATTTTCTCCTAGCTTGTCCCTCAAAACTCGAAACAATTCGGTATCCACAATCTGCAAACAAAACAAATTAAAATTTGCAATTAATAAATAAATTGGTCACAAATTAAAATTTAAATTGCACCTCTTGGTGTAGTCGTTGTTCGGCAGATACAACATTCGGAGCTCGTATGAGAAGAAACAACGTTTTGATGTTGGGTTGGACCCGAAGTATCTTCTCTACGAGAACTACATTCATCAGTTTACGAAACAAAAACGCGCAAAATGTTAGAAAAAATATTATATATTGCTATATATATATATATATATATATATATGTAAGTATTATAGAAAGATGATGAAGTAGTACTCTTTGCAAGAAAGCCAGTGGCACCAGTGATGAGAATTGTTTTGCCATCAAATTTCTCAACTATTTTATTTGCTTCCATTGATATTAGCTTTCTTACAAACTGAAAAATCTTGGTTTATATCTTGTAATGGGACTCAAACTTTTATAGACACTTATGTCAACGTTATGTTATAAATGATTCTCCAATATCCATGCATGTTTTAAATGGAGATAATAATACAAATGTTTTTAGGCATATTTTAAATTACATATATATTAATGCGCATGTTTTAAAAATGGGCAAATGGCAAAAAGGCACATCCCAAGGGACTTAAATGCACATTGGTCCATAAAAAAAAGTCTTTCAAATACACTCATCCCCATGCCTTTAGTCAAAAACACCCTTCATAATATATTTTTTGTCAATTCCATCCATTATGCTCTAACTTCCTTAATATTACACATTGACCTCGGATTTTAAACAAATATATCGGATTAAGCCCCAAAATAATAATTTTTTGAAAAAATATTTTTTTTTCAGAAAATAATTTTTTTTCCGGCCAGATTCCGGCGTTGACCGCGGAGACCGTCAGTCTCCGGCATTGAATTTTTTTTCGAATTTTTTTTCTTTGAAAAAAATATTTTAATTAATATTATTGTCTTGCCTACTAAATTATTGTCTCAGACAGTAAGTATTACTGTTTGAGACAGTAATATTATGAATATTATTATCCCGAACAGTACTATTATTAATATTACTGTCTAAGACAGTTAAGTAACTGTTGGAGACAATAATTTAGCAGCCAATGCAGTGATATTAATTAAAATATTTTTTTTAAGAAAAAAAAAATTCAAAAAAAAAAGTCATTTAACAGTTAAATTACTGTCTCCGTCAGTTAAATAACTGCTTGAGACAGTAGTTTAGCAGCCAAGACGGTAATATTAATTAAAAATATTTTTTTTAAGAATAAAAAAATCAATTAACAGTTAAATTACTTTCTCCGACAGTTAAATAACTACTGGAGACAGTAATTTAGCAACGAATACAGTAATATTAATTAAAATATTTAAAAAAAAAAGTTAATTAACAGTTAAATTAATGTCTCTGACAGTTAAATAACTGCTGGAGACAGTAATTTAGCAGCCAAGACAGTAATATTAATTAAAATAACAAAAAAAAGTCAATTAACAGTTAAATTACTGTCTCCGACAGTTAAATAGCTGTTGGAGACAAAAATTTAGTAGTCACGACAGTAATATTAATTAAAATATTTTTTTAAGAAACAAAATTATAAAAAAGAAAAAAAAAAGTCAATGCAAGAAAGAAGCAAAACATGAAAACTGGAACCCATAATAGCAGAGAGTGACAATTTTGGAATAGTTTCGAAAGCCCAAAAGATGTATGTAGCATCAATTTTATATAAAACCTTGGAACTTGATATGAAGAGATAATAAGAGGTATAGTCACAATAGTCACAGGTGGCAGAGAGAAGAGGTGGCACAGAGAAGGAGGTGGGGGCTGCACAGATAACTTAGGTGGCGGAGATACGGGATAATGTTCAAAAAAGTTTGAGAAAATATGTAAGCAAGTCGAAAAGGGCGGCTTCTGCAATTGGTTGAAAAAAGAGGTGGGAAATGATGTTGGCGGCAGGGGCGGTGGGCATCGAACGAAGCGGCAGCGGCGGGCGTAGAAGCGGCGAACGGTGGAACGGTGGAGGTCAACAATTGTTGACCAGATGTGGAGACCATCGCTGAAACGACGTTGTTTTCGAGCAAGCAGGTTAAAAGAAAAGGAAAAAAACACACACGTCGTCGGAAGGAAAAAAAAAAGTTTCAAAAAGAAAAAGTCAACGCCGTAGACCGGCGGTCTCCGGTGGTGGCGGGTCAAAATTGAAATTAGAGTTAAAATTGGTTAATTGATGAAATTGGGCTAAATTGGGGTGTAAATCATGAAATTGAAGTTCAATTGGATTTCAATGAATTGGGCGTAATTTTGGTATATATAAAGAGATTTTTCTTATTGGCAAATAAATTTGAATAAGCTAGATTTATTTGAAAGACAAAAAAATTGGATGTTCCTCTTTTAATTAAATTCCTTTATCATGTGTCTATTTGTCATTTGTCATTTAAAAATTAAACTTTAATATTGATGTATAATGATGAGGGGTGCTCAAACCTAATTAATTTAATATTAAATAATTAAAATATATATTTATGTATTTATGTCTTTTTACTTTATGGGCCATGTTCAGAGTCAAAGTATTTCATTTGTTTTTTCTCACGTAAAAAACACCTAGTTTGCTCTTAGTTTTCACTTTTCTCATTTCTAGGATTTAAAATAAGTTACGAATTTTAACTTAAAACCAAGGCGTTGGCCCCAAACGCCCCGAATGTAACAAAAAGAAGTTATAAGTTATTTTTTTCCTATCTTTTGATTTTGTCCTAAATAAATCATATAAACCCCGAACACCTGAAATTTTATTTCCACTATGTAACAAATATCATGGACTCACCATTGTTTGAAAAATCATTCTTGTTACTAATTTCTTTAAGTTGTTTTTTAATGCATATTTATCCCCAATAATGGAATCCTGGTTTGTCTATTGTTCATAAGAATTTTAAAGTGACAATTAATCAATTCCTTAAGTAATTAAATTAGTTTCATTTGGTAAGTTTGGTACAAGTAAACATATCTCGTTAAATCGCCTGGGATTATTTGCTCAGTTTTTGTCTGATTTAGACAAGAAACCAATCACATTAATTTCAATAAATATAGTACTCTCTACGTCCCATATGATATATCGTTTTTTTGTGGTTATGCGTAGATTTGATATTCAATAAATATGCATGGATTATAAGAAAAATAACATAGTAAATACTAAAATATCATTGTTATTAGTTATTTTTAGTTCACTCATAACACGTGATAAAAAACAATTATGCCTATGTGACCAGGTAGTATGCGAAAAAACCCCTACGTCCCTTTTTT